GGGAGAGGGGAGGGGGAGGGGGATGTGCAAGAATGAATGGGGGGGGGGACTTTGTTTACCAGAGTCAGGAGGAGAGAGTGGGAAATCAGTGTTCAGGAAGCATCACGTTTTCCTTTATGGGGAGGGAGAATTTGGCAAATTGCATTAGACCTGGTTGCACAGCTTTGCTCACTGAATCGTATGGGCCTTCGAGTTGGCTCCCTGTAGACCAGGGAAGGAAACACTGCTTGATCCTGGCCTTTCCTCACGGCCTCGCTGGGGCTTTGTGCTGTGTGTCCTTACCTCTCGATTACAAACTGCAGTTGGAACTGCAGATCTCTCCAGATGGCATTTGTAAGTCTCTAACAACAAAAGAATTGATACCTCTGACCCGTGATGTGGGAGAGGAGTACTGAATGTCCCATCGACTATCAAAAGAACAGACACGTCTTGGAGAAAGTGCAGCCAGAGTGCTCCTTGAGGGGCAAGGAAGGGAAGTTTCATCTCACAGATACTGGGCATGTTGCTAGGAGAGGCCATTCCTTGGAAAGGCGGAGGGTCAGCGAAAGAGAGGAAGACCCTTCAGCAAGGTGGACTGACAGTGTTACAATGGGCTTGAGGGTGTCAACGATTGTGAGGACGGTGCAGGGTTCAGATCTGTGGTTCGGAGGGTCACTACGAGTTACGTTTGACTCGGCAGCACCTGATAGCAATAACAACAGGACCCTAACCTGTGGCTCTGTAGTCAGACCTGACCTTTTGTGGCCCAGGTGTTCAGGTTAGAGCTACACCATAGGGTTTCCAAGGCTGTCACAGATTGTGGGGCCTGCCTTCCCAAGTGACTCTGGGGGGATTGGAACTATGGAAAGCCAATACTAAATACTTGTAGTAAACTGAATGCTATCTCAAGATGTGGGGGAGGCACAGTTCAAGCTAGAATTCACCCTGAGGCACTAAGGCAACCCATAAGGGTCTACCAGATTCCTGCATTTATTAGAAAGAGCTTGGCTTCATTTGCATTGAATTCTCATTGTGATTTACTTCCTGATAATTTTCAATAAAGAGACAGGGAAGCGGGAATAGGGATCTTCAGAGAAGAATTGCTGGCCCCCTGTTTTTCATGCTTTCTATTCCATCTCATTCTTGGTCTTCTGTCTCATTTTCATAATTATGAAAATACCCTCGGGTCTGCAACAGGAACCATCAACTTTTCAGTTAGTAGCCAAGTACTTAACTGTTTGTACCTGTGGTCAATAAGCAAGCATGTTACCTGAATGAGATTAGTGCAGACTTTTCGTTCCAAGAGCTGTCTTCTAATTAATCACACTTCACACCCTCAGTAAGATAGATGTGACACAGTGACTGAGTCATTGGGCTCAAGCTGTATCAGAGATGGTGAGGGAGACACAGAAAAGGTCTGACCACTTCCGTTCATCGGATCATTATGAATTGCAGTTGATGCGCTGGCGCCTACGAACGACGTGGAGAAAGAAGACGAGGGACAGCCATTTGTATGGCCCAGTTGGGGAGAGTTTTATTTAAGAGCAAAGATTTGACAGTGCATAGAGGAGACATCTGTTTCACGGGCCACCGCTGGGCCAGCACCATAGGATTGAGAGGTGATTCTGCCCGCTGGGAGCTGCACTGAGTGTGGTCAAATCCCAAGGCTCCGTCAGGGTGGGCGATGTCTGCGGGGACCACGAGCGAGGTCAGCACCGGAAGCAGCCAGTGTCGCTCCTGTCATCTACCGAGAGTCCATGCAGTGGGGGAGCAAAACATCAGGGGGCAGGGGGCCTAGATCCGGGGCCCGCAGAGACCACGGGGCCGCAGAGACCGCAGGGCCAGCAGAGACCACAGGGCCAGCAGACGTTCCGCTTCAAAGAGCAGACAGCTGCTGCGTATAGGCCTGGAAATGGACAAGTATGGTGGGCAGACCTCTGTTATTAACACACACACTCAAAATGCTCATGAGGCTTAACATCAACTCGTTAACCTTTGACACACACCCACCCAGCCCTCGCAAAGCCAGTATGAGGTAGATGTTGTCCTTCTTTAACGTATGTCCTTTGATGGACACCTTACAAGTCAGTGCCTCCACCCAGGCGTGCCTGACGGCCCCCACGGTCCCTTCTTGTGCATTGTGTTGGCTTTGCTGGTTCTTCTGCACTTTTGCCTTTGTCTTAGTCCTAATGTCAGACATGCAGCTTCTTCACGAGCTTCATGGTGTGGTGAGCTTTCCAAGTGCAGGGACTAGCGTCCTGCAGAACATTGGGACCACTCTGAGAACATGACGGATGTCACAGGTTTGACGGGCTGCGAAGACTGGGATTTGGTGGACGTTGGAAAGACCACATAGGCCACTGGTCAGATTAGGAACGTTTTCTTATGGCCACTTGAGAAGACTAGTCAGGATGGAAACATGAAATGATCTCACTAACGTGTCCCAGCTGGCGTCCAGACCTCGTCCTACAGGCGAGTCATTTAGTTAGCTGGCTTTCCCCACCCCTTCGTTGCCTCCATGAGACACTGTTTGAAGAAATGTGTTTCAAATGTTCTCTCTGTGGCCGGTCCCAAGGAGCCGCTTAGAAAGAGAAGTACTTGGTAAACCACTCCTGGTGGGCAGACCCCTGCTTCTGCTGGGCTCCTTTGGGCTCCGCGGTCTCACCTTCTTGTGTCCTAAAACAAAACAAAACAAAACACTGAACAGAAGCATTTCTCTAGGTGGTTCTGATAGTTCCTCGAAAAGCAGCTTTATGCCCACCTTCTTTTCAGGGAAAGGAAATGCCTTTGCAAACTTTGAACAGACACTGGAATGTGACCCCTGTTAAGCTTGAGCTGGAGAGAAGGTAAAGGACTCGGGGAAGGGAAGTCTAATTTCTCTTGCATAACCAGGCCCCCCACTCTTTGTTCTAGGCTTTAGAGGTTCCCCTACTAACGAGCCCAATTTCGTTACATCACTCATTTTCCTGTACCAACTGGACAGTGTCAGAAATAAAGATAAAAGAAATGGTTAACCAGCACCATGTTACAATTTATGGCTTCTTCAGAGTTTTCTGTTAATGTGCCCGAGCATCTCTGTGAGATTAGCCCAGTCAACTGAAAGGGGAGAGCAGTAGATAAGATGTTACCGTGTAAACTTAGCTCAAGACTTCACAGGAAACGGTGACACAGACCTTTACACACGAGAGTCTGCTGTGAGGTGGGGTGGGAGCCAAGAGTATAAATATCCCATGACTGTGCAAAGAACAAGTCTGTCTTGGAGGATAAGAACGCATTGTGCTCCGTAGAGGCAGGCAAGGATGGTTACACTTGATCTCACATTCTTTAGGCACGTTGTCAGGAAGGGTTAGTTCTTAGAAAAGGACACTGTGCTGGGGAGCTCTGGTGGCCTAGTGGCAGGAAGCTGCACACCAATCCCTGAGGTATGTGGTTCGAATCCACCAGATGCTCTGCTAGAAAAGGAGGGACAATCTCCTCCTGTACCAGTCAGATCTGATTTGATGGTACACACACACAAATAATAAAAATAAAATTTAAAAAAAATTAGAAAAGAATAGGACACTGTTCTGGGAAAGGGGAGGGTCAGAGGAAGAGAGGAAGACCCTCAACCACATGGATTGACAGAGTGACCGTAACAATGGGTTTACCACAAGGACGGTACAGGACAGGACAAGGCTCAGATCTCTTGTACACAGGGTCACTGTGGGTCAGAGCTGACTTGACAGCTTCTGACAACACTTGGATGTGAGTGCCTGCACGATGCGGGGAACTCCGTTGGCTTAGTGCTAAGAAGCTGTGCTGCAATCCCACAGGCATGAAGTTTGAGCCCACCAGCTGCTCCCCAGGAGAAAAATGGGCAACTCCTTCCGATGCGATTTACTGCCTCTGAGAACCTGCCGGAGGGTCAGCTATGAGTCGCTTCTGCCTTGACGGCTTATCACCACCACCACCTGCGTGGTGCAGTTCAAGTGTTCAGCCGCTTGCTGGCCAGAAGGGTGAAGGTTTGGGTCCGCTGAGAGGCACCGCAGAAGAAAGGTGTGGTGCTCTCCTTTCCCCAAACCAGCCTTTTAAACGTCCTGCAGAGCAGAGTTTTTGTGTGACACACATGACTGACCATGAGCCACAACTCACAGCAAGAGGTTGTTTTTTTTTTTATTTTAATTACTAGTGAGCTGAGCCATTCACCAGTGTCAGGGAGCTGGCCAGTGCAGTGAAGGAGGGGTGAGCTCGGGCCCCAGTTTCTCACCTACAGGACAAAGGTGCTGGCTACCATGGGGCCTGCCCATACCACACTCATAAATGCCTGTTGTCCAGTCACTTCTAACTCGCAGTGACCACAAGTGAAAGCAGATCTGCCCCAAAGGGCTTCGGAGGCTGTTAATCTTTAGGGGAGTTTTCTCCTGTGGGGCAAATGAGTACATTCAGGCTGCCATTATGGTTATCAGTCAAGTGCTTCAGCAGTGTGCTACCAGAGCTCCTCACGTTGTTGTTAAGTGCTGTTGAGTCAAGTACAACTTCACAGCGACCCCACGAACCACAGATCTAAACTCTGTCCTATCCTGACAATCCTCCACTCATTCGCATCCCTAACTGCAGACACTCTATCAGCCCTTGAGAGTCTTCCTCTCCTCCTTTCCAAGCATGATGTCCTTCTCCAAGGAACAGATTCTCCTGGAAATGTGTCTAAATAATGTGAGACCAAGCTTCATCGATTTTGCCTCCAAGGAACATTCTGGCTGCACTTTCTCCAGCACTCATCTGAAGGTTCTTTGGGCAGTGCATGGGCTGTTCAGCACGACCGTACAAGGCCAGACAGGAAACAAAGCCTAGACTCGCTGCGGTCAAGTCAGGGCCTACTCCCAGTGACCCTCTGGTGCCTTTCCAAGGCTGTAAATCTTAATGGGAATAGACTGCCTCCCTTCAAATAAAGGCCGCTGGGCTCAAACCTTTCAATTAGCAACCTGCCACTTCACCTACCACCTGAGCTCTTGACCGTCAGGTTGGCCCCTAACTCGTGGTGACCCCACGTAGAGTGGAACGAAACACTCAGGTCCTCGCTACCCGGTGTGGATGGGACCGCTGTGGGTCACAGGGTCTCCATGGACGGATTTTTGAGGCGGGGTCCTTAGGCCTTTCCAGTCCATGTTGGTCTGGAATCTCTGCTGAATTCCCACTGACAGGAATGCTGGTGCTGTCAGGTGCCATCAAGTCGATGACACCTCATCGTGACCCTCGGAGCAACAGATCTGAGCCTTGCTCTGTCCTGCTCTGTCCTCGTCGTTTGCAACAGGTCACTGCATAAGATGCAGCGGTCAGGACTGGAATCTGGGGCTTCTGCCTTTTGTCGTTAGGTGCTAAGACTCACAGCGACCCTGTGAACAACATGTTAACAGCCTGCCCTGTTCTGTGCATGTCTAACAACCTCCACCAAGCTCAAGTCCACTGTTACGGTCACTGTGTCCATGTTCTGTGCATGTCTAACAACCTCCACCAAGCTCAAGTCCACTGTTACGGTCCCTGTGTCCATGTTCTGTGTCTGTCTAACAACCTCCACCAAGCTCAAGTCCATTGTTAC